TCACACGTAAAAAGTAGTACAAAAGATATTATGGATTGCTCTCAAAATAAATTTAAATGGAGTTGTTATAAAATGAATAAATAAACAAATTAATAAATAGAATTGCAGTAGTAATTTAGGATGAAGTGCTTGTGCACGTGCGCACATGCGTGTGAATATGTGGAAGCTTGCGAAGCCGAAGATATGCACACGTGCCCACATGCATGCGCGATAACTTAGAGATACAATTAACACCAATCAATACAAAACTATTTATATACTTACTAGATATAGATATGTATGTGTGTGTGTATACATAAATTTGGGTATATGGGTATATACGTGTGTGTGATACATATATATATATATATATATATATATATCCTTGGGGAAGAGGGAGGGGTAAAATGTTGATGCATGCCATGTGTATGTGTATACATAGATATGTATTTGGGTATATGGGTATACATGTATATACATATACGTGTATGTGTGTGGTGATATATATACATATATATCCTTGGGAAGGGAAAGAGAGATGGGTAAAATGTTGATGCACGCCATGTGTATGTACATACATAGATATCTATTTGGGTATATGGGTATACATGTATATACATAAACGTGTATGTGTGTGGTGATATATATATATATATATATATATATATATGTCCTTGGGAAAGAGAGAGGGATAAAATGTTGATGCATGCCATGTGATATACATGGGTATGTATTGGGTATATGGGGAATTTATGTATATACACATATGTGTATGTGAGTGGTGATATATATATATATATATATGTATATATATGTCCTTGGGAAAGAGAGATGAGTAAAATGTTGATGCATGCCATGTGAAATCATAAAAACCAGTCAACTACCAAATGTCCTTTGCCCTCAATAATCCCACCTCTGTCCATCTCATTGTGTGTTCTGGTTGCATTTCTCGCCAACAACTATCCGCGAACCGGATCCTACCAATCTTCCTTTTCTTAATTCATTAATTAAATTCAACTAACAAGTAAAATCTTTTGATTTTTACTTTCCCTAACACATATACATACACACACATATACATACATACATGTAATGTATATTAATAGTATTTAAAAAAATTAAAATTAATTTAATACAAGAATTTATATATAATCGAAGAAACCCTACATATATAATATTGGTAAAATAGAATAATTATTAAGCTAAATGGACCCGTTGTTGTAATATGGTAGACCATGGAGTGTGTGATATTATTGACTAAAAACCAAATGAAGACAAACCGTGAAGGTGACAAATAATTTGTATAATTAATCAATTAAAAAAGAAATTTTAATCCTAATGTTACTCGTGTATTATATTTTTATTTAAATTAAAATTTTCAATTTTATTTTTTGTTAATATAAAAAAAATATATATTACGTTGTATTTAAAAATATATTAAAATTAAATAAATTATCACAGAGATGATATCGTTCTCGTGTCTCTTAATTTTTAAATAATAATTTAAATCGAGTACAAAAATTATCATTATGCTAATTTGAAAGTTTGTGGAATGTTTTATAATTTTATTTTTTTTTTAAAAAAGAGGGTTTAAAATTAAATTTATTAAATTAAAAATAAAATATATATAGTATTCCGAACAATAATATGCACGCTTCTAAAACAATTGAATTTACTCTCAAATCAAGCTTACCTTCTCCTATAATCATCTTATAGAGGACCACAAAAAATTGATCATTGCACCACCAATAAACAAGAGGCCAACTAATTTTATACACCATTGATGAAATTGTACTTGACAAATCTAATATTTGCAACTTCAAATAGAGAGTATATAAATGACTCGGTTTGTGAATTTTTACTTGTACTATTTTTGTTTAAAACTTAATTTATTTATTTAAAATATCTGTTTCGAATGATTATACACGATGATAAGATGAATATATAATAAGTAGACATAATGTTTTATATTTACTGTGTGAAAATTTACATTTATTCATTTATCTGTTCGAAAATTACAGCACGATCAGCAACTTGATCAAGTTAACATAAGATAAAGAGAGAAAAATACTCGGTGTGAAATTTATATTGAGGAATTCAACTCTCGTTTTCAACCTACTCCATCATTTTAAGTTTTACCTTTACCTCAAAAATAGAAATTTAAGGGTAATAGTGGGTAATTATGATTCGAATTAGCAAAAGCAATGTCTCCTTGCATAATATGGATTCCAAACATTCATGATCTGGATGTGAATGAGTCGAATTACTTATCCCTCGGTCTATTAGTGAACTCTCTCTCCAGGGATTGTGAAAGAT